GCGGGGGGTGCTGCAGGTACTGCAGGGCGCGGCTGCATGGCTCAACAGGTCGTGGCGCGCCGCCAGCCAGGGTCACACCGCCGGGCTGCACGGCAGCGCCAAGCAGCTCGCCGAGGCTGCGCCAAAGGCACGGGCCCGCAGCGCAGGCCGCCCCAGGGGCCCGCATCCTCGCTGCGCGCCAGCAGGGCGCATCAGAGGGCGGAGACGTCAAAGCCGGGCATGGGGAAGCTGCCGGCCCACTCCTCCACGCGGCGCCGTATGTCGGCGATCACGGGGCTGGTCTCAATGGTGCTGCACACAGGCAGGAGGCAGGGAGGCGGCAGGAGGGAGGGAGGCCACAGGACGTGGGTGAGGGAGGCGGGGAGGGCGGAGCAAACATGCGCGGGCGCCAGCTGCCGGCAGCAGACGGAGGGGCCCGCTTGGCAAGCCAGGGAGTGCAGAGCGCGGCGCGCCGGCTCTTGTACACGCGGCCAGCCAGCCAATGCCTACCACCCACACCTGCCCACTGCGCCGCTGTCACCGCAACCCCTGCCACACAGCCGCCTCCCCCGCAGCGCGCCGGCCACCCCGCCCGCCCCCCTCTGCTCTGCTCGCGGCGCCTCCCTCACGCGCCAACCACCTCCGCCCTCCCGGCTGCCCTTCCTCCCCACTCACTTGCTGAACTCAAGCAGCTTCTTGCCGCTCTTGCGCTGCGTGGCCTTGCACTCCTCCAGCACCTCGTGAAGGAAGTCGGCGATGCGGGCAAAGTCTGCGAGGGAGGAGACAGGTGGGTGGAAAGGACGGGTGGGTGGGTCTGGGAGTGGAGGGAGGGAGCAGGCGACGTGAGCAACAGTGGAGGTGTTGGCTGGGAGGGAGGGAGGGAGGGAGGGAGGCGAGCGGACACTGGGCTGCGCCGCTTCAAGCTGCCAATCGGTTGCGGGCTGCCGGCTGGCGGGCGGGCTGCCGGCTGGCTGCCCAGGCGGCCGCCCGGCTCACCCTCCTCCTTGAGTCCGCGGGAGGTCATGGCTGGAGAGCCAATGCGCACGCCGCCAGGTGTCAGTGCGGACACGTCGCCCACCACTGCAGAGGGGGCAGGAGGTGGGTGGTGGTGTGTGTGTGTGTGTGTGTGGTGTGGGGGCACCGAGGCGCGCCTCCGCTGGGACTCCTCCCAAGCACACACACACCCGGCGCCTGCCTAGCCCAACGCGCCCGGGAAAATGCCCGAGTCCCATCGGCAGCGCTGCCCTGCTGAGGGCACCCCTCTCCCTGCCCCGCATCAGAGCCGCCCCAAGCCATCGTCGAGCGCATGTGGAAAGCAGGTCGGCAAAAGAAAGAAAGGAAGAAAGGCAGGCGCACCCGCGTTCTTGTTGAGGGTGATGTGGCACAGATCGCACGCCTTCTCCATCTTGCTGCCTGTGATGCCCTCGGGGCGCAGGTCCCACAGCACAAGGTGGTTGTCTGCGGCGGGCAGGCAGGGGGGGCAGGCGGCGGCGTGTGGCGCTCAAAGTGGGCTTGAGCGGTGTGTGGGGTGGAGAGGCAAGCAGGCGGCCGCACCTGTGCCGCCTGTCACCAGCTTGTAGCCGTGCTTGGTGAGCGTGTCGCCCAGGGCCGCCGCGTTGCGCTTGACCTGCGGGGCGGCGCAGGATTGTGTGTGGTGTGGGTGTGAGTGCGGTGCGGTGTGGTTTGGTGTGGTACGGTGTGGTGTGGTGCGAGAGCAGTGCGATGTGCATGTGCATGCGTGTGCGCGTGTGTGCGAGCTTGGGGGGCGCAGCGCGCTGGCACTTGGGTGTGTGCGTGTGTGTGACGCGGGTGAGGATGGGCTTGGGGTGCCGCCGCCCACCTGCTGCGCGTACTGCTTGAACTCCGGCGTCTGCACGTGCTTCAGCGCCACCGCCAGCGCGCCGATCTGGTGGTTGTGGGGGCCGCCTTGCAGCGAGGGGAAGACCTGCGGGGCAGCAGCGGACGCGGCGGCAGGGCACGGCGTCGGCGAGGCGAGGTGAAGGTGGCACGGAGCAGCCAAGTTGAGCCAGCGCTGCATGGGCCCTACTCCTTGCATGCCTACACACCATGTTGGAATGCTGCACAAACAGCAGTACACCTTCCTGTCCCGCCTGAAGCACGGGGCAGCCAGGTAGGGTGTGGGGCAAGGCAGCGGGCTCACCGCAAAGTTGATGCGGTCCTCAAAGTCGTACACCGCACCCGCATCCTCGTCCCGGCCCAGCCGGTCTGCAGGCTTGGGGCCCTGCAGCGGCGGTGGCAAGCATGGTCAGGAAGCAGGTGCAGCAAGCACAGGACCACACCACGCCACGCCACACCATACCAAACCACGTAGCACAGCAAGCACAGGGCCACGCCCCACCCCACCCCACCCCATCCCACCACTCCTCACCCTGCGGAAGAAAATCATGCCGGCTCGAGGCCCGCGCAGGCTCTTGTGCGTGGTGGTGGTCACGATGTCGGCGTACTCAAACGGCTGCGGCGGGGCGGGGGCCGAGGCAAGGAGGGGAGGGAGGGGGATGGCAGGGAGGGAGGTGGATGGCAAGGATGGAGGTGGAGGAAGGTGGAGGGCAGTTGGAGGCAAGGGAGGGCAAGCGAGCCCAGGTTCACTGAGGACAGGGCCCGCGCCTCCCAACGCCGGGGGGCAGCCCGATCACGGCTGCCGCGCGTGCACGCACCCCTCACGTACCCCAACCCGACCCAGACGGGCTTCTGCACCGTAAGCACACACGCGCGCACCCCAGACGCCCCAGCCCCGACACGCAGGCGCCCGCCCACCTGCGCCGCCTCCTGCGCCGCCACCAGCCCGCTGATATGCGCCATGTCCATCATCAGCAGCGCGCCCACCTTGTCTGCGACACAGCAAGGCACAGCACGGCAGGCGCGGTAAGGGTAAGGAACGTCACACAGGCCAGGCCACGGCAGCGCATCGGGTGCCCATCCCACCACGCCTCAACACCTCCCAGCAGCGCCCGCGCTTGCTGCGGGGCGTGGGCCCAGACGAGGTGAGGGCCCCAGCCAGGAAGCAGCACTACTTCCGGCAGGCGTCTCTGCGCCCAGCCTCCCTGGTCCCACCCTCCCTGCGCCCAGCCTCCCTTCTCCCACCCTCCTTGCCTCCCTGCTCCCACCGTCCCTGCTCCCACCCTCCCTGCTCCCACCCACCCACCCGCGATCTGGCGCAGGCGCTTGTAGTCCCACTCTCGAGGGTAGGCGCTGCCTCCGCAGATGATGAGCTTGGGGCGGTAGTCCAGCGCCCGCTCCTCCAGCTTCTCGTGGTCCAGGTAGCCGGTCTGCGGTACCGGTACGGCAGGCGGCACGGCAGCTGGGCACGCGACGGCGCGGCGGGGCCGGCAGGGCCGGCGACAAGGTTGCTCCGCCCGCCCAGCCACGTGCAACCTCCCGCCCAGACGCGTGCAGCCTCGGAGGGTCGCGTGGCTGCACCCGGCGCCCATCCACACACACGCCACCACAACCCGATCGGATGATCAGATTATCGGCCACCCCCGGCCAGTACCAGGACACCCAGCCGCACCCACCCCCATGTCCAGCTTGTACGGCAGGCTCTCGAAGAAGATGGAAGTGGCAGAGATCTTCTTTCCACCCGCAGTGTAGTAGCCGTGGGTGAGGTGGCCGCCAGAGGGCAGGTCCAGGCCCATGATGCGGTCGTGAGGGCTCAGCAGCGCCGTATACACAGCAAAGTTGGCGGGGCTGCGGGAAGAAAGCAGCAGGGCAGGGAAGCGCGGTCGTGGGTGGGGTGGGGGCTCTGTGTGGAACGGCACAGCCGGCGGTGGCGCACGAGGAGGGGCTGCGGGCGGCGGCGGGAGGAGGAGCGCACGTCCTGCACCGCCGCCAGCTCCGAGGCGGTTGGAGCCGATGGCAGGCAGGCAGCTGCTGCCGCGGTGGCATCCCGCGCCAGCAGGCTCCCCGACCCGCCAAGCCACCAAGGACCCATAGCACACATGCACACATGCACACATACACCACCACCACCACCACAGACACAGCCCCACCCGCACAGGGCCCCCACCACCCCCACCCACACAGACACACAGGGCCCCCCACACCCTCACCTGCCAGAGTAGGGCTGCACGTTGACGCCCCACTGGTCTGGGCTGAGGTGGAAGGCCTCCAGGGCCCGCGCCTTGCACAGGTTCTCGATCCTGTCAATGTTCTCGTTGCCGCCGTAGTAGCGCGCGCCCTGCAAGCAATAGCGGAGACAATGGCAGGGTGGGAGGTGCGCAAGGAAGGGTGGAGAGCAGGGGCGCCCGGCGAAGCGACAAGCGGAGGTGAAGCGATGGCGGCGCCATGCGGCAGCTACCAGGCGCAGCTGCTACCAGCAAGTCCAGGCCCGGGCATCATGCATTGCACCATTGCCCCTGTCCAACTGAATGACCAGCCGGCCCGCAGCACACGACAGAGGCAGCGGAGGAGGCGGGCGTGGAGCGCAAGCAGCGCCGCCTCCCACCGGCGGCAGCACCCACCGGCTGGCCCTCGCTGTACTTGTTGGTGAGGCAGGAGCCCAGCGCCTCCATCACAGGCCGGCTGGTGAAGTTTTCTGAGGCAATCAGCTCGATGCCGCGCCTGCAGGCGGCGGCAGCGGCGGGGTTGTGACCGTTGGCCGGCCGCGGCGACAGCTCCGCACACATTCGTACTCGTGTTGTGCAGCCCTGCGTGCCGCTGGGACACAACTCGTGCATGGGTGCTGTGGCAGGGCTCCCAAGGCCCTGCGCCCAGGCTTGGCGCCCCCGCCTGCGCACCACTGCCGCCGCTTCTCGTCCTCGATGATGGCGGCCACCTCTGGGTCCGCCTCTGCCAAGCTCTTCAGGGCCTCTGGGAACATGGCCAGCATGTCCTTGCCGTGCCCGGCAACCCCGTTGGCGGCCCCGACCATGCTGTTCAAGTCTGGGCTGGGATGCGGCTGCCGCCTGCCCACTGCGGCCAACGACTTGCCGATCGGGTGCAGAGCAGCGCAACGAGGGGATTGAAGCTGCGAACACTATTGCAGAATGGCAGCCGCGGGCCAAAAGCAATGATGTCAACAGCCGACTTTCTAAAGGCTCTGGCGCGCTGCAGCTGGAATGACGCTGCTGTGGTGACCAGGAACTATTACTCCGGGGGCCGCCGCCGCTGCATATGACACCAGCATCCATTGCATGTCGCTGAGTTCTGCGGTCCACACACGGTTGCAGCATATTAATTAAGCCCATAGTGACTGATACATTGTCCCTATAAAGCGGGCGGTGGACTTGGTGACGGAGGAGGGTGAGCATTGCGCCGCCGCCGCCGCCTGCCGCCGCCGCCTGCTTACCGCCTCCGCCGCTGGCGCGTGTGGCCATCCCTGTAGGCACCCCCTCCCCAGGACCGCGGCACCATGCTGCGATTCCGCGGCTCGCAGTGCTTCCGGCAGCGGATGGTGTGTGCCACGATTGCGGGCAAGCCCATCAGGATTGACGACATTCGGGCGGACGACGAGAGCCCCGGCCTGCGCGACTACGAAGCCTCCTTGCTGCGCCTGATAGAGAAGATCACAAACGGCTGCATCATAGAAATCAACGAAACAGGTGCGAGCAGGGCCCTGGCATGCATGTACGCCTGGCGGGCGCTGTCGTCGCCGGGGAGCCGCCGGGCCACCCAGGCTGGCGGCTTGTGTGTAGCGCTGCCGCGAGGCCCGGCCTCCCCTCGCCCCGCGCCTGCCGCGCAGGCACCAGCCTGCGCTACAAGCCCGGCTTTGTGGCGGGGGGCGCGGGGCTGGAGCACGACTGCGGCACATCCCGCGCCATCGGCTACTTTCTCGAACCCCTGGCCCTCATAGCGCTGTGGGGCAAGAAGCCGGTGGCCATCTCGCTGCGCGGCATCACCAACGACGCCACCGACTGCGGTGTGGATGTGTGGCGTACCGTCACGCTGCCCCTGCTGCGCCAGCTCACCGGCGCCGACGACTTTGAGCTCAAGGCGAGGGGGGGGGTTGCGGGGCACGGTGAAAGGGGCATGGCTGCAGGCTGCTGCCTGGAGTGTGTCGGGATCCCGTGTGGAGCCTGCCGCACCCCCAGCCCCAGCCTCACTTGCATGCCAGCGTGCGGGCCGGCCTCACACTCCCTCTCCCCCCATGGCCTCCCGCAGGTGGTGCGCCGCGGCGCGGCGCCGCTGGGCGGCGGCGAGGTGCTGGTGCGGCTGCCGGTGGTGCGCCAGCTGGCGCCGGTGAGCGCCACGGACGAGGGCATGGTGAAGCGCATCCGCGGCGTGGCCTTCAGCACCAGGGTCTCCCCCCAGTGCAGCAACCGCATGGTGGATGGCGCCCGCGGAGTGCTCAACGATGTGCGCCCCGCGCCGCTGCCGCTGCCGCCGCCGCCGCCGCCGCTGCTGCCACCGGTGACGCTGCTGCGGTTGCTGCCAGTTCTATCGCTGCCGCCGCTGCTGCATGGTGGTGGCAACGGCGGCATAGGCCTGGGCCCTTGGCAGATGCGGCCCGCATGGGCAGGCAGGCAGTGCATGGGGTGTGTGCGCCTGCGCGCGCAACTGCTACCACCCTAACCTGTTGCTGTCGCAGTACTGCACAGCATTGACCTCCCTTTCTTCTCCCCGCCTCCCTGCCTGCCTGCCTGCCTGCCTGCCTGCCTGCCTCCCTGCGCAGTTGCTAGCAGACGTCTACATCTTTACAGATCATATGACGGGCCCAGCGGCAGGCCTGTCTCCGGGCTACGGCATCACTCTGGTGGCAGAGACCAGCACGGGGCGCCTGCTGGCGGCCGAGGCGGCAGCGGCGCTGGACCGCGGTGGCGGTGGCGGCGGCGGCGGCGGGCCGGGCGGCATGGCGGCGGCAGCAGGGGGTGGGGAGGATGAGTCGGAGGTGGTGCCCGAGGACATCGGGCAGCGGGCGGCATACCTGCTATTGGAGGAGGTGCAGAGAGGAGGCGTGGTGGACAGCAGCCACCAGGTGGGGAGCTGGCAGGGCAGCGGCTGCGCTGGCGCCGAGCTGGCGGGGTGTTGGCTGCGCTGGGCAAGCAGGCCTCGCTTTGGCACACGGCACCGGCGCTGCCTGCCTCCGCCTGCCAGCACGGGTGCCGCAGCCTCGCCCCTCTCACGCCTCCGCTCCTGTTCTGCTTATCCCCTGTCTGCGTGCAGGGCCTGGTGCTGCTGCTGTGTGCGCTGGGGCCAGAGGAGATGTCAGAGGTGCGGCTGGGCCCGCTGACGCCGCACGCTGTGCGCACGCTGCGCCACATCCGCGAGTTCTTCAACGTTCAGTTCAGGTGCGGAGGAGGGCTGTGCAGCGAAGCGTTGGCCTAGGCATCTAGCCTCTGCCCTGCTGTGCGCGGAGAGGTGGTTGATTGGCTGTGGTTGGCTGGTGTGGCTCCTCCATCATGCTCCGAACAGCAGTGCCCCCTTGACGCACCGACCGGTTGCGCCCCAACCCCCGCCACGTGCAGCGTTCGGCCGGAGCGGGAGAGCCAGACCATCTTCCTGTCGTGTGTGGGAGCTGGCGTGAGGAACCTGAGCAAGCGGATCCAGTGAAGCAGCAGTCTGCCCGGATTGTGTTGCATTGGGGCGGCAGCGGCGACGGACAGAAGCAGGAGCAGCGAGCAGAAAGGTTGCTTGCTGGCAGCGGCGGCCGGTCGTCCTGTAAACCAAGCGCTGTGATCGTGCCATTTACAAGCAACGGGTGTGGGAAAGGCAGGCCCGTACCCCGCGCTGCCCGTCGGCCCCACTCGGTGAGGCGCCAGACGCAGGAGGACGCATCCCTGTCAGCTGCAGCCGGCAGGCCGCGCCGATGTGCCCTCTGCCACTTGGAAGCCCTGCCTGGCTTTACCATGCTCAATGCTGGCAAGCTTAGCAGCCAGCTGTGGTGAGGGGCAGAAGGCAGAGAGATCCCGCATCCACGCTGTGGATCAGTGACGGCGGCGCCGATGTGGCGGGCCCCAGCGGCTCCTCATCTGCGGCCATACCCAGGCATCGCATTACCTTTTTGCGCTGTTTCTGCTGATGTTGCACGGCAGGTGTCGAGCAAAACCCTGCCATCGCCCCAACCTTGCGTGTTCTGCAGCCCGTTATCGGAGACACCATGAGCTGGAGGACGTCAATGGTGTGCTGCATTTGCGCCACTCCAGGGAGCCTTGCGGGCGGCCAGGAGGTTGGGCAGCTCCCGGCGGGGGCTCTTCCGACCGCCTCTCGTCGCCAGGCACACACCACAATTCGAGTGGGTCGAGTGGCACGAGGATGGCGCTGCCAACGTTGGGTCGAATCTGGCGGCGCTGGCGCCACCGGCCAGGCCGCCAGGCGCCAAAGGGGACAGCCTCGTGTACCAATGTCACTGTCGAGCCATGTGCAGGCAGCGCCAGGAGCACAACACTACCGTCGATGCGGCAGACGGCTTGTGGCCAGATCGGCAGGCTCTGGCAGCACAGCAGGACCGCAGCGCAGCAACAACGCCCAGCTTGGTGCCCCATTGCCGCCGCCTCAGCAGCAGCAGCCTGGCCAGGAGCAGCAGCAGGCAGCGCCGCCCGGCGCGCAGGCAGGCGACGTGTGCGGCACGGCGGCCGCCGCCGCGCCCGTGCCGGAGCGAGGCCGCCCCGACGCCGCGCAGCTGCCACAGCCGCTGGCCATTCTGCAGTACCATGTTGAAGATCCTGATGCCCCTGATGCTGTACCAGAGACCACCTACTACATTCTGGGCACAGCCCACGTCAGCGCCCAGAGCTGCCGCGACGCGGCAGCCCTCATCCAGGCCGTGCGACCGCAGGTGGGGCCTCTGGGGTCTGGGCCCGGGCGGGCAGCCGGCGGCGCGCCGCAGGGCGCCAGCCGCTGCAACCCAGCCAGCCCCGCGGGCTGCTCAGCCATGCTGCCGCTGCTTCTGCTGCCTGCTGCTTCAGCGCGGTTCAAACCGTGCCTGCCCCCGGGGAAGCCAGGGCCCACTGTCTGCATGGACCGGCTTCCGAGCCGCGCCCCGCTCTGTTTCCTCGGTACTGTGGTGTACCACAGTTTGTACTGCTGGAGCTGTGCAAGGAGCGGATGCCGATGCTGGCGCCCGATTTTGCGCCCGCCCAGCTGAGCCTGGTGGATGTGGTGCGGGCGGTGCGTGCGGGCCAAGCCCCGCCCTTTGCAGCCCTCTACTCCTGGTAAGTCGGGGCTAGCGTCACGGCTCCCTGTCCCTGGCCCCCTGCTGCCTGAACCTGTGATGGCCCCAGCACGCAGCGCCGTCTCCCACGCTGATCCTCATCACGGCATTGCCACCCCACACGCCCTTGTTTGGTTATGCCCCGCAGGCTGCTGGGCAGGGCGGGCTGGGGGCTGGACGTTCGCCCCGGGGAGGAGTTCAGGGTGGCTTTCAGGGAGGCGAGGGCGGTGGGGGCGCAGGTGGTTCTGGGCGACCGCCCCGCCTCCATCACCTTTGCCCGCACCTGGGCTGCGCTGGGCGGCTGGCAGAAGGCGCGCCTGCTCGCCTCCCTGCTCCGGTCGGGCGCCGGGTGCGCGGCGCTGCCGGCCAGCCTGCCGGCCTGCCCTGGCCCTGGCTGCACGCACCGCGAGCAGCCACCGCCGGCGCTGGCGCTTGCTTGAATCGGGGTGGAAAATCCTGGCAAAGCAGGGGCCAGCGGTGCGTGCATGCTGCACGTGCGCATTTGCCTATGTGGCGCGTTGCTGAGGGGCCTCGCCGCGGGGCATGCCTGCAGTACCTGGGGCGAGAGCCAGCGGCGCGAGGTTGAGCGCATGAAGGATAGCGATGTGCTGACAGAGGCAGTCAAGCAGCTTGGCAAGGTGTGTGGAAGGACGGGTGTGGGGGGTGGCGGTGAAATGGTGTTTGGAATTGTGTGGAGAGAAGCCTGCCTGCCTGCCTGCCCCTCGCACCTGCACCGCCAGCAGCCGGCGATTCCTGCTCATTCCCTGCCCTCCTGTTGCGCTCCCGCCCTGCTGCTCCTGCCCCCTGGGTGTAGGCCTACCCGAGCCTGCTGCAAACGCTGGTGCAGGAGCGAGACGCGTACCTCACCCTGCTGCTGCGCAAGCTGGCGGGGCGGGCGGCCACGGTAGTGGCGGTGGTGGGGGCGGGGCATTTGGAGGGCATCAGGTGGGGAGAGGGGAGGGGGGAGCGAAGAGGGCACGCATAGATGCCTGCAGGGGATGGAGGGATGATCGTGGGAGGTGGTGCCTAGCAGGCACTTGTGAGTGGCAGACAGACAGACAGACAGACAGACAGACAGTGGCAGTTGCCTGGGAGGTCGGGCGAGGAGTGGGCTGGCGGGGGTTGCAGCCCCGCAGATGGCGCCTGCCTGCCCGCCTGCCCTGCAGGCAGCACTGGAACCAGGAGATCGACCTGCAAGAGCTCCTGAGCCTGCCCGCGGCGCCGCCCCGGCGGCCCGCCTGGCGCCGCGTGGCGGCGCTGCTGGCGGCGCTGCTGGTCGGCATCGCTGTGCTGCTCTGGGTGCGCCCGCGGCCCGCCTGGTAGCGCAGTGGGCATCAGACGGCGCCCGGCACGCACATACCTGCAAAGTTCATTGGTTTTGATTGCCGTATCATGTGTCTGCATAACATGTGTGGCGGTGTGGCGGCGACGCTGCCCGCTGCCCGCGCTGTGGCCATGCGCTCTGAACGCACGCTCTCACCATGCTCCTCCAGCGTATTCTTCATTCACCATTCAAATAAGCGGCGTGAATGCGGCAGGGTGCCGAGCTGCACCATGCATCCGTGCCTCTGACCCAGTGGCCGGGAGGCGGCGCCCTGCGCCGTGTAAAGGAGCTCGACAGTAGCGACACGCCATTAGATGCGCGCGATGAGCGTCCTGCAGGCTTCTTGTGGTGGGTCTCGTCGCCCTGCGGTCAAATTGGCCAGCCAGCGCGCCCGCTGACCTGCTTCCTGTGTCCGGCCTGCGTGCAGCGCTTTCAGGACTGCGGCAGCGCTGCGGCTTCCTGCACCAGGCAACGCCCCCGCCGCCGCCGCCGCTGCCAGGCGGCAGGCGCCCCGTGCGCCTGCTTCGAGCAGCTGCCTGCTCAGCTGGCAGGCTCCACGCGGCTGCAGCATCCGCGCCCAGCGATGATGGCGATGCTGGCAGCGGCGAGGCCAGCGGCGGCAGTGGGCAAGGCGCAGGGCCTGGGAAGGGGCGTGCCGTGCGGCACGCCAGGCTCTCCAAGTCGGCCCACAGCCAGAAGCTTGTGGTACAGGCCACGGCGGTGCAGCGTGACCTAGAGCACATGCTGGATGCCCAGAGGACCTTCCACCAGCGCGGCACGCGGCGAACGCAGCCCGCTGCGAAGCGCTCGGAGCAGCGGCACCAGGACGAGCACGAGGGGCAGGAGCTGCGTGGCGGCGGCGGTGCCAGGGGCGCCAGGGGCAGCAACAGCAGCGGCAGCGGCAAGAACCGCTGGTATGAGGGGCCGGCCACTGCCAGCCGCGGCAGGCGCCCCAAGGTGAGCCTCTGGTACGAAGGCCCGCCCAAGACCAGGCGCAGCGTCAGCAGCGGTACCGCCAGCAGCAGCGGTACCGCCGGTAGCCCCAGCCCCAGCGGCGGCGCCCAGCCCGGCGGCGCGGCGGACAAGGCGGGCAAGGAGGGCGGCGGCGCGCCGCCGGCCGCTGCCGCGGGGCGGCCGTCGCGCAACCCTCTGCCCTTCATCTCTGTCGATCGCGAGGATATGGATGCCGCCATTGAGCACACCTTTGGCGCCCCTCCAGCCAGCGGCGGCGGCACCAGCGGCACGGGCACCTCCGTGCCCGGCACGGGGCGCCAGGCGCGCTGGCCGCCGCCCATCAAGACCGCCACCAATGTGCTGGTCGTGTCTGCGGCGCTGATGAACCGCAGCAACCAGGTGGGGAGGCCGGGGCGGGCCGGCAGGCCGGCGGCTGCTGCAGCGCCGCCGCCGCCTCGACGGCGACTTGCGCTGCCACCCGCAAGCTGCATGCAAGGTGGCGGCGCGCTGCACCCGGCTGGCGCTGCTGCTGGTTGCCTGCCCTCCGTCCCTTCCTTCCATCCCCTACCCGCCTGCCCGGCCGAGCGGAGCCAAGCCCATGTGTATGCGTTTTTTTTTTTATTGGGGAGGTGCCCCCTCCCCGACATCTATGAAGAAATGATGAAGGCATTTACTGATCCTGTGGAGTGGGTGTCTGGCAGCCCTACCAAACAAAAATAAATTACAATCAACAAGTTGCAGGTGCTGATGAGCAAGCGCACCAAGGGCAACATCAAGTTCCGCGGCCTGTACGAGTTCCCCGGCGGCAAGGTGGAGCCGGGCGAGATCCCGCAGTTTGCGCTGCAGCGGGAGCTGTGGGAGGAGCTGGGCGTGGAGGTGTGCCGCCGCCGCCGCCGCCGCTGCCGCTGCTTCGTCCGCGTGCTGCTGCTGCTCCTGCTGTTCCTTGCTCGTGCCCCTGCTTCTGCCCCTGCCGCTGCCCCTGCCGCTGCTGCTCCTGCTGCTGGCCTGCCCAGCATTCAAGGGACGCAGTGCTGAACCAGGGGTGCTTGCTGCCGCTGTGCCGCTGCCGGCCGCAGGTAGAGGAACGCTCCCTGCAGGCGCTGACGTTTGTGAGCCACCGGTACGGCTACTGGTCCCACAACTTCCTGGCGCTGCTGTTCGGTGAGCGTGCGGTACCACAGTACCACCAGCAGTACCACCACAGAGCGACGCGCGCAGCTCTGCCCTCCTGCCGCCCGCTGCGGCTGCCGCAGCTGCCGCGTCGCCTGCTTCCTGTTCGCTCCCACGCACCGCCGTGGTACCCATGCACACGTGCCGCGGTACCGCCTGCAGTGGCGGAGGAGTGGCGCAATGAGCCGCGGGCGATGGAGGGGCAAGAGCTTGTTTGGGTTCACTGCGAGGAGCTCCTGTCGTATGCGCCCAAGTGAGCCAGGGGGGCGGTCCTGCCCAGGACCCTCCTGAGGGAGGGGACCCCTCAATAGGGATCACCCTGTGCAGTGCCAGCGCTGCTCTGCGGCGCTTAGATGCCTGCCGGCAGGCTGGCGGTGGCCGCGGTGGGGGAAGTGCGCCTGCACCAAGAGCCGACGCAGGAGCACTCCTCATCTATACCAACACATCTATCTACATGTAGCTTTGCTGCTGCCCACGCCGGCTGCTCACCTCCCTCCCTGCTGCGCCTCCCTCGCTGCCGCGCCAGGGTCCCCGAGCCCACCCGGAGGCTGCTGGCGGCGGTGTATGGCGTGATGCTGCACCGGCAGCGGCAGCAGGAGGCGGCGGCGGCGGCCGCAGCCGTCGTTGCCGAGGGCCAGGCCGGCGCCGCCCAGGGTGGCGGCGGCGCCAGAGCCAGGGCCGCCGCCCGCGGCAAGGCTAGCAAGGTCAGGGCCGGCAGCAGCAGCGCTGCGGGCGGCGGCAGCGAGGCCGAGGGCCGCGCCTCGAGCGGCGCAGGCGCCGGCAGCAGGCGCACGAGGCAGAAGGCGGCAGCCGGTGGCGGCGACACCAGCGGCGACGGCACCAGCGCCGCGCCCGCTGCCGCCGCAGCCGCCCCAGCCGCCGCCTCGGCCGCCACCGCCGGCAGGAGAGGCAGCAGGCGGCGGCGGCAGGCCCAGGGCAGGGAGGGTGCGGCACAAGAGAGCACCGCGGAGCCGAGTTTGCAGGGTGGTCAGTCGCAGGAAGCGGGCAGCCAGGAACAGGCTCCACAGCCGGAGCCGGAGCAGCAGCTGGGCAGCAGCGGCGAGCAGGCTGCCACCACCGCCATCCACTCCCAAGAGCAGCCCGGCCAGCCAGGCATGCAAGCCAGCCTGGTTCAGCCGGAGGGCGGGGAGGGAGGTGCGGGGCCGGTGCGTCGGATGAAGTACAGGAGCCCCAGCTCTCAGCGTACCGCCAAGCTATGGGTGGAGAGGGTGCGGCAGCGGCGCCAGGCGGCCCGCGACGCATACCAGCAGCAGCAGCAGCAGCAGCAGGAGGGCGACAGCCTTGGCGGCGATGCGCCGGAGCAGCAGGCTGCCCACAAGGCGGCTGCGGGTGCTGCCGGTGGGGAGCTGGCTGCCACGGGCATAGCACCGGCAGTACCAGCACCGGCAGCGGCGGCGGCGGCCGTGGCAGGCGAGGCGCCAGGCGCAGAGGAGGCCGCCGCGCCAGCCGGGGGCGAGGGGCCGCGCGGCAGGGCGCCGCAGCGGCGGGACTGGCGCCAGTACCGCCAGCGCCGCACCGAGCGCCTGCAGCAGGCGAGGGAGGCGGCGCAGGAGTGAGGCGGGCGGCGCAGCTGCCGTCGCGGGTGCGGCCTTCCTCTCCCAGCTTTTTTTTCCGAGCTGAAGCTGGGCTCTGCCACAACACACTCGAGGCAGCCAGCCAGCCTGCCATGGTACTGGGTAGGACCAGATCCACTCGCCTCCCACCATCGTACTTGACCTCATGCAATTCTACACTTCCGTTTTTGTGTGTATTCCTTTCAATTCCTTATTGGAAGCATTGTTCAGAGCTTGTGACATTGTGAGGCCGCCATTTGCCCGGCTATCTTACAGGGCCTCCCTCGCTGCAGGGGCGCGCTCCTGCTCTGCGGCGCTGCTCGGCGTCCTGGTGCTGACAGCTTGCCAGCTGGGATTCGACAGCTGGGATTGAGTGGCAGCCTGCATGCACAAGGGAGAGCAGCATTCTCCCTTCTGCATGCAGAGTTGGATCGGGTTGGCAGACCGCCGCCGCCGCCGCCCGTACTAGTGGAGTACAGCCGAGGCAACCCCCTCGCGGCAATGCGCTGCTCAACGATTGAGCTGAACTCACAATGCTCTGCAGCTTTGTCCCGCAGCCCGCCTCGCCCTCCGGCACTTCTCGGCGCCCTCCTCTGCGCCTTGCCCTCCCCAGGACGCAGGCCTTGCAGCAGCAGCAGCCGCAGCAGACCCAGGAGGCCAGCTTGCAAGCAGCGCAGCGCGACGATGGCCGCGGGCGAGCCCCCACCGGCAGCGCCGCAGGCGGGCGGCAGGAGGCCGCAGTGCAACTACCGCAGCTCCCGGCCAGCCGTGCCTCAGGACCTGCATTGGCTGCCGCAGCCGCCACGCTAGCAGCGGTCGGCGCGGCGGCGTACGCTGTGCTGTCGTCGCAGCCGCAGCTGCCGCCGCTGGGGGCGGTGCTTGGCCCCGCGGCGGCGGTGGCGCTGGGGGGGCCGCCCGCAGCGCTGCTGGCTGCGAAGGCTGTGCTGCGAGACAAGCTCCACCTCGAGCTGCACAGGTGGGGAACCCCGCAGCTGCTGCTAGGCCTGTTGCAGTGTTTTTGAATCCGCACAGCATTGTGACATTGTCTGATGAATCGGGTGCAACGTTGTTGCCCAGCGTTGGGCCGGAGGTGGTTGCTGCCGCTGCGGCACGGCTGCGCCCCACCATCCCTGCCCCCTTTCCACCTCCTTCTGCGCCGCGCCGCGCAGGGGGAGGCTGTACGTCACCGCCGGGGTGCCGTCCCGGGGCCCGCCAGCGGCGCCGGGTGCCGTCGAAGTGCGCCCCACCGGCACCGCGGCGCTGGGCAACGGCGCCTTTGCTGCGCAGCCCATCCCGGCCGGCACCTGCCTGGGGGAGTACACGGGAGAGCTGCTGGACCGGCCCGCCTTCTTCGCGAGATACCCTGACGGAGTGGTGCGCTCAACTGCCTTGTGTGGACCCTCCTGTGCCGCTTTGGGCTGCCGCCATTGGGCTGCCGCCTTTGGGTTGCTCCTCTTGTCTGGGCCTGGCCTGGCCTGTGCCTCGACGGCCTGCTCGATGCCACACCGCCTCGGGCTGTGCGTAGCCAGCCAGCTGGCCAGCCCTCGCTGGCCGCAGGCCCCCCCCCGGCCGCCACGGCCGCCAGCTGGCGGCAGCCCACTCGGGCTTGCATCCTGCGCTTTGCCTGCTGGCGCGCAGGGCGACTTTGCGGCTGCCGTCGACGATTGGTGGACGATCGATGCGGTTGGGGCGGTTGGGGATACAGCCCGCTTTCATCCTGTGAGTGAGCGGCCTGGTGGCTGGCAGCCCTGGCAGCGGCCGCCTCGCTTGCCTGCTCCGCTGGCCGCTGCACTGCGCCCACCGCTCACTGCAGCGCCCTGGACCAACCTGTCTGCCTGCCTGTCCACCCAGCCGCCCTCCTGCCCGCTCGTCTCCCGTGCCTGCCGCCATGCATATTGTTGTTATCGACCATCATCAACCCGCCTGCCCGCTCGCCTCCTTGTGCTGCCGACAGGTGCACATGAACCACTCGCGGGGCCGCGCCAACGTGGCTCGCTTCTACTGCCGGGCGCAGCGCCGCATATCCTTCTTCACCACGCGCCGGGTGGCGGCGGGCGAGGAACTCCTGTATGAGTGAGCCCGGCTGCTGCGACTGTTACGGCAGGCAGGCTGCAGCGGGGCAGCCTCAGGGCTTGGACGGCGGGATTACTGGCTGGCGGGGCAGGCAGGGAAGAGGGCGCAAGGGTCTGCCAGCAGGCGGGGGGCTGTTGGTTGCGTGGCGTTTGACCTGGTTTGGGGCTTTTCGAGAGCTGCCTTGCTTGGTGGCGAGCTGCACTCTCCGCCTGCCCGCTTCTCTGCCCCTGCAGCTACGGGCGGGCCTACTGGCGGGGCCGGGAGGAGCAGGAGCTGCCCTGATGGGGCTGGGCGGCTTGCAGCCACGAGTCCCCACTTGTCTCCAGTTGCAGCTCCATGTCGGGACTGTGCCAATTCTGCCACTCCATTTCATTATCTGATCAGTAACAAAGGTGCACAGACACAGCAAGTAAGCATGGAGCCCTCAGCAGCGCTGGGGCAAGAATGGGAGCGCTGCGCAGCGCAGCAAACTGACCGTTGCAACAGGCGGCTGTCTTCGTGGATGGGAGGAGTGTCGTGGGAAACGGAAAGGATGGGATACCAGGTGTAGTGTAGTGTGCATAATGTGTGTGGAAAAGGCGCCTCACGTTGTAGGGGCCATGCGTGGTGTGTAGCGGGCTGATGACCATGGAACCCGCCGTGACCTCTCTGGCTGCCCTCGGCCGGCCGGTGGCACGTTTCAAGAACCAGTGGCGAGCCATGCAAACACCTCAGGCGGGCATGACGCCGGTGGTAAGGTACTGCGCCAGCAGCAGGGGAGGGGGGAAGGGGGAAGCAGCAGCAGCATGAGCAGCACGGGAGCGCGCGGGTCGCGGCGGGTGGCAGGGACAGCAGCAAGCAGGCGGCAGCGCGGCTGGTTGGCTCCGTGTGCGCATGGCGTGATTCTCCATGCGCGCGGCTATACCGCTGTGCAAAACTGTACTGCAACACCAAAGGCGCGCCACGCAGGCTGGCGGCTCACGCTGTTGAGCAGGTCGTACAGCGCGCTGAAGGCCGGAGGGGGCGTGGAGTCGCTGCCCAGAATGGCCTGCTCCAGCGGGAGCATGTGTTTGCATTTAGTTTCTTTCTTTTTCCATTTGATGGCGCAGCAGGGCGCGGGCGAGCCGGCACAGGCGAGTCGGCAAGCTGCGCTGCGCTGTGCAGCGCTGGCCGGCGGGCACGCGGGCAGGCATCCAGGCAGGCAGGTAGGCAGCAGAGCGGCGCTGGGCCGCCGCCGCCGGGCAGCGGCAGCGGCGGGCGCTGCTCGGCGCACCTCGGCGCTCAGGTCTCCGTACAGCTGCTTGTTCTTGGAGGAATCCAGCTGGTACCGCATGCCTGCGGAAGGGAGCAGGGGTTGCGGTGGGGAGACACACGGGTGGGGCCCTGGCCTGTGCACCCAGCAGAGGTGAACACCCAGCGATGTGCGGCGCGTGGCCGGACCACTCCCAACCGAGCCCGCCCGCCCCACGGAATGTGGAAGGAAAGCAACCAAGCTGCGCCGCTCCGGGCTGGCTGCAGGCTACCCGAGGCACAGACAGAAACGTACAACGCTGCGGCTCTCCCGGCTGGCTGCGGTCTACCCTCAGGCTAGGGCCCTCACCCTTGTAGGACAGGTCCACCAGCGCGCCCGAGGACACCGAGTAGGGGAAGGTCTCCTCGCTGAGGGTCAGCAGAGACACGCTGTCCTGGCCCGCCACTGCAGCAGGGGGTGGGTGGGGGCAGGCAGGGGCGCCGCACGCTTGTCGGCACGTTTGTGGGGGGTGCGAGCTCCGGGCGCGGCCCCGGCGACGCGGCAGCGCCACGGATGCGGCGCTGCCAGGCTGCCTCTCGAGAGCACGTGGCCCGCCGGCACCCGGCCAGGCGCCGCGCATGGGGACAGGCCGTGCCGGCAGGCAGCCCGCTGCAGGTCCCACTGACAGGGAGAGCCCTGTTGGGGGGTTCCCACACGCACCGTGGCTCAGGGGCCCCACCGCCGCGACGTCGGTCGCCAGGTCGTTCTGGGCGGCGGCGTACCGCTTCACGGCCGCCTCAGTGTCCAGTACAATCACAGAGTCGATCTGGCTGTAGCCCAGGGACAGGCCCACGCCGCCTGCGGGTGTGGGAACGAGCGAGCGAGGGAGGGAGGGAGGGAGGGGGCGCGTAGGGGGCGAGTGAGGGCGTGCCGTGGCGTGGGGAAGGCGGCCTTGCGGCAGACGAGGCGATGGGCAAGCCGGCAGTTAGGTGCTGGGGTTGCTGCGCCCACCACCCACCCGCAAACACCGTGATGAACAGGGGCGCAGACCAGGTGCCGCCCTGCAGGCCCTGGCCGTGAGGCAGCCGTGAGGCAGCCGCGCGCGCGATGAGAGTGCAAACACAAGCGCCAGCGGCGGTCACACCCCGCTGGCCGGTTCTGCCGCCGCTGATGGCGTCGCCTCTCCTGCTGGCACCGGAGCAGACCTCCCACCTGCTTGGCGATCACGAAGCCGCTGCCGCCCTCCACTGTCAGCACGGCGCCCGCCTGCACTCAGGGCAAGCAAAGTGAGCGTCTGCGCGCTGCCGGTGGCGGGCCTCCCGCGCTGCCGCCGTCGCCAGTGAAAGCTCAGCACTTGCCTTCTTCACAAACGTGAAGAACAGGCCGCTGCACTGCTGCAGCTCCCTGCAGCAGCACAGGAGACTAGGGTTGGGCAGGGAGGGTTCGCGATCAAGGGCTTTGGCGATGATGTGACCGAAGCAGCTTGCTCCCACCTCTGCGCCAGGTGCCGCTCCCCTACGGGCTGTCCCTCCTTCTTGGCCAGCCTCTTGACAAGAGCTACGGCTTTCTCGACATCAGCGGAAACGTCGGCCATTCTGGGTGTTTGTTGGGAGAAGGGAAGGGGCGCGGGGATGTCGTGCAGAGACGATGAGTGGTCGGGCAAAAGCTGCGGCGCCAAAGGCTTCCGATGGGGCCGCGCGTGCAGCTCCCGCCCGCCTTTCCTCCACGGCGCCGCCGCTGGCAACTGACCCAAAAGGGTTTGGAGGGCCCGTGTGGGTGTCATGCCCACTGGAGCCCTCACAGAAGCAAGGTGATTGCATGCGACTGCTCTGATCTGAGATCAGGCACTGATTCAGCCAGGCAGGGTGTCCAATGAGCTTGTGGGCACTGCCGCTCGGGCCAGCTGGCGGAACACAGAAGAAGCTGGCCGATGATTGCGCCCAGTTGGGCACAAACAGTGTACACGCATGGAAGCGACAGGAGGATCGCCAGACAGTGCAAGCCGTTGCGGATGCGGGTCTGTGTTGTTTCCCGTCAGCCTGCAGCCCCCCCGCCTTGCACGCCGTGTGCACGGCCCACGGTGTTCCGCCCGCGGGCTCGCCCTCGACCTTCCACGTTGCAATCACAGTCTTCCAGCAACACAGGCCAGCAGGAGGGCGCTGCTGCAGCTAGGGCTCGCTCTTCGTCCCGGCAGGCACCTCAGGCCGCCGCTAGTCCTGTCGTGGGGCGTAGGCCAACAGGTGAGGGTGACAGAGATCAGCAGTGGCGATGCGTGCAGCCCGACACAGCGCTGTGCGTGCAGCCTGCGTGCCGCCCAACCGGCGCCCCCAGGCTGCCGCTCATCTTGCGACACCAGGCCAGGCCGCGTCATGCCCTGTGCTCAAATATGTGGACTCCGCATTCGACACCTAGCAGAGGATTTCGCCTTCTTCTACCTCATTGTCGCCATATGCCAGGTGCCTGCTGCTCCGGCTGCACGCTTCTGGCCGCCGCTGCCGCCCGCCGCCGCCGCTCACGCCTGCCACCTACTTGCCTCCTGCATGTTGCGTGGCTGGTCATATACGTTGGGGCCATCACGAAGTGGTTCATTCCACAGCCATGCGACATCACAGGGGGAAGCAAGCACATGTGGGCCATCTATGTGATGTTGGGAGTGTTCGTTGTCCAGGCGGGGCTGACGGTGGCGGCGGTGGGGATCTCCCTCATAGGTGCGTGCACGCGTTTGTGGCAGTGGTGGCAAGCAGGGTCGGTGTTGGAAAGGCGGTGTCAGAGCTTTCCATGGCTATTCATGGGACCACAGGGGTTGGCACCAACCAGCGTGGGGCTACCCGCCCCCCAAAATCATTTCTTCTGGGCCCCGCCGCTGCTGCCCATGGCCGGCTTCACTGCCTGCCTCCGTTACTCAACCTGCTGCTCTACTCAACTCTCGCACAGGCACCCCCCTTGAGCCGTCCCGGCGACGCTGGCAGAACCCCGTCTCCGCCGCCTTTTTGTTGTCGCTGCCGGTGGCGCTCGCCCTGCTGGCCTTCTCGCTGTGGGCAGTGCTCTCCTCCGAGGACACGTGCTGGAGCAACGGGGACCGTCAGGTGCCAGCTCACTACATGGTGTCAGGTCTGGCCTGGGAGCTCTTCCAGCCGTGAGTTAGGGGGGCGGCTGTGTCGGGTGCGGGGGCTGTGCATGACAGTGCCTGGCGTGAAGGCGGCGCCAGGGAAGCGTGTGGGAGCGAGTGGGGCAGCCATGCGCCACGTGTTATGCGGCCTGTGCGGCGTGCCATCGGTGCTCTCCGCCTGTGTGCAGCATCAGCCGAGGGGCGGCGGCAGCGCCTGGGGCTCTGCTCATGCATGCACCGCCGCAGCAACCCATTGCTGTCGCCCAGCCCAACATGATGTTCATGGCATATGTCGCTGCCGCCGCCGCTGCCTGCAGGGTCGGTATCTGGCTGACCTACCTGCAGCTCTGCGATGCTGAGCCGGGCAAGTGGTGGCACGCCGTCACCCGCAAGGGCACAGGGTACGGGGTGCACTGGTGGAGCAACTGGCGTGCGGCTCACAGGTAGGGGGGATTGGGTGGGGTGGGGTGGGGTGGGGTGCAGTGGGGTGGTGGAATCGGCAAGCAGCGAAGTTGGGAAGGTGGCGGGTGCCGGGGGGCCGAGCAGCCAGCGTGCCTCGAGAGATCTGGCAAGCTTGTGTGCCCGCCGCCACCGCACCACCGCACCCACCCTGCCCACCACCGCCACCGCCGACACCAACTACACAACCACACGAAAGCAAAACCGCCACCCACCCGCTACATCCCCTTCCTCCGCTGACGTGTGTATGTGCGTGTATGTGTGCGCCTGCCAGGGGCCCCGATGCCGACTATGAGCGGCTGGTTGGCGAGCTGCAGCGCCTGCTGGCAGGCATCCAGGCAGACAAGACGGACGCTGTGGCTGCGGCGGCGTGCGTGGCTGTGATGCAGGAGGAGGTGGCGGCACGGCAGGCGCAGCAGGCGCAGCAGGAGGAAAGGGATGCGGAGGGTGGCAGCCAAGGCAGTGGGGCTGAAGAGGTCAGCACAGGCAGCGAGAAGCGGCGAGAGCTGCTGGCCTGGGCACGCCAGGTATGTGCTGACGCGGCTTTCCCAGCCCTCCACAACGCCGCCCCTGACGCTGAGGCGGAGGTTGGTGCGGGGCCGGCTGGGCTGGCTGGGCAGCAGGCAGCGGGCTGCGACGGCGTAGCAGCGGCGGATGTGGAGCAGGCACTGCACTGGGCGCGGTTTGCGGCGGCGGCCTACGGTGCTCGCCAGGCCGTGTGGCGCCGCGGCGAGCTAGGGCGCTGCGCCGCTCGCTCCCAGGTCGCTCGCCTGGCCAAGGCTGCCGCCGCTGCGGGGAGGCAGCCGCTGGCGGGCTGGGGGCCACACGCCGAGGCCCAGGCTGGTGAAGGCAAGGCTGCGGATGCCGCTGCAGGCGCCCCGCCCAGCGCCTCGCAGCTCAGGGACTTTGCGGCTGCGGGAGAGCTGCTGGGGGCGGACTGCGACATTGCTGCCTTCAGCTCAGGAGACAGGGCAGCGGGGCTGTTGCCGCACCTGGTTGTGGTGGACAGGTGAGCGCGCCTGCCAGGCTCTGCGTGTTGGCTGTGCTGATGGGCTGTTCAGATGATGCCACAGCGGCGCATGGTCGCTTGCTGGCGCTTGCTGTGCAGCCGTTTCCCTGCCCTGCTGTATCGTGGCCTCCACTGAGCGGCGAAAGACTGGTGCCAGTTGCTGCCCCTTGCAGGTCCAGGCAGGCAGTGGTGCTGGGCATTGCCGGGGACTGGCTGGAGCCGCATCTGAGCGATGACGTGGCGCCGCCACCGTGTGGCTGGCTGGGCAAAGGCGTAGTCGCCGCCAGCCAGTGCTGGCTGCACGCTGCCAGCCTGGAAGCGGCGCAGCTGGTGCTGGCTGAGCTAGAAGGCAGCGGCGTGCTGCGGAGCCTGCTGCAGCAGCCCAGCAATGCCGGAGGTGGAACTGGCGGCGGCGCTGGCGGCGGAAAGAGTGAAGAGGCGGCTGGTGCAGGGCAGGCACATGGAGCTGCTGCGGGGCTGCCCGACTGCTCCGGCTGGCAGCTGGTGGTGGCGGGGCATGGGCTGGGGGCAGGGGCGGCGGCCGCTCTGGCGCTGAAGCTGCAGCCAGATCACTCAAGTGAGCAAGTTACCTGTGTGCCCGCCGGCTGCCTGACTGGTGGCTCCTTGGCTGGCTTCGCACCAGGAAGCGCAGGCGAGGGAGTTGCGTGTGGCAGCCGCATCTGCCTGGCTGTCGCACAATGCATTTCACGTGTGTTGCATTGCGTTCCGTGCTGGCGCAGGCCTGGTGTTGTGGGCCTTTGCCCCTCCCGGCCAGCTATGCAGCCCAGAGCTGGGTGGCGAGCTGGCCGCCGCCTGCTGCTGCGTGTGCGTGTGTTTGGGCGATGACATGGCGCCACGTGCCACGTCAGCAGGGCACGCCATGCTGGCAGACCAATGTGTGGTGGGGCTGGCCAGGCTCAGGTGCTCTCCATGCTCGCGGGCCGTATGCATGCAGTTGTATGCATGCATTGCCAGCGCCATTAGCAGGGCTGGCAGAGAGGCATGCGCTGAGCGTGCGCCACACAGCATGCTACGCCCTGCCACCCACTCAACGCAGCCCTGCTCCCCCTGCTGCTGCCGCCGTTTGCTGCCGCAGGTACAGCAAGACAGGGCTGGAGCTGGCCCAGGTTGCAGAGGGCTGCTGGCCGCGGCGGTGGGGCGGGCGCTGGCTGAACCCCCACCGCATGCTGCTCCCGCTGGGCCAGGTGCCGGTGGAGGCACTGGGGTTCCTGCAGAGGTGCGCCTGCCTGGCGCTGGGTTATACAGTCGGTGGCAGGAATGGATGCAGCAAAACGGTGGCCCTGCACCGCACATGCATGTCGGGCGGCCCTACTTGGCTGTCCCCCGTCTGCCGGCGCAGGTATCGAGAGTGGCGGCACGCGCAGGCGGAGCCCGCGGCGTGCACCCTGCCTGGCCGTGTGATGCTGCTGGCTCGCCAGGCTGCCGCAGACCCTCCCGCGCAAGGCGTTCAGGAGCCCAGCAGGTCTGCAGGCAGCGGCTGGTGGGCTCGGTGGTTGAGCGGCGGGGAACTGGCAGAGGGAGGGGTGCGCATGTCCAGGCATGTGGCGGCAGACCACTGGATCAGCAGAATGCTGGGCGTGCTGGCAGAGCTGGCCCCTGCTGGCAGCTCGTGAATCGACGTGGCGCCGATGCCGCCGCCGCCGCTGAAGAGTTGAGGGTCGCGATCTGTCCTGGTCTCTTCTGATCGTCCAACCCAAGCTACATCCAGCCCTTCCTCCCGACAATGCACTATCCAAGTGTACTTTACAATTTAGCCCGACGCTGCGCGGAGGCAGAGCCTAGCCAGGACAAACAGGGCCACTGGCCGCTCCGCCGCCGCCGCCGGGCGCGCCTGCCTCACTTGGGCTGCGTGAGCAGCCTGAGCGCCTCTGTGAGCAGCTTGACCGCAGTGGTCACATCCTCGAACTGGAGAGCGCTGGTGGCCGACTTGGCCAGCTTGGCGGCGTCTGACATCTCCCGCAGCCCCGGCTGGAAGCCGGGCACCGCCTGCGGGATGGGCGGCGCCGCCGCAGCCGCCACCGCCGCCGGGCGCACCGGCGGCGGCACGCTGGCAGCCGGCCGCGGCGCGGCCGCAGCCGGCGGCGGCTGCTGCTGCGGCGGCTGCTGCGGCGGCAAGCCCACCGCCGGTGGTGGGTACATCCCGCCGCCGCCGCCGGCCGCTGCAGCTGCAGGCGGAGGGGGCAGGCCGCCGCTGGGCAGGCTGTCCAGGTTGGCTCCCTCCGACCTCGGCTTGGGCACGTGCAGCTGGTGCAGGCGGTCGGCGGTGGTGTCCACATAGTTCCCGTCTGCCAGCCGCACCAGGTAGCTGGGCGGCCTGCGAGGAGCGGCGCGCACAGGCGGGCAGGCACAGGAGCTGAGCAGCAGGGCGGGGGCAGGTGGGATTCGGCGGCCGGGGGCGAGAGCGCAGCGGGTCTGTGGGGGGGACGGGGGGACTGGCGGCCCGGCAGAGCATCTGCCCGCCCGCGCACGCATGCGCTGCCCACCCTCTCCCAAGCTCCTGCCACGATCCACTCATCGCCCACCCAGCACAGGCGGATGCACCTCAGGAGCAGGCACTACTCACAAGCACACACAAGCTGCACACACGGCCACCTCTGCTCGCTCACCAGTGCCCCAGGTCTAGCTCCGCGACGGTGGCCTCCACGCTGTGCCCGCTGGGACCGTGGTACATCACCGTCTCCCCCGTGGCCAGCTCTGGCGCCAGCTGCGAGGCGTCCCCGACGGCAGCGATGCGGTCTGCGGCGGCAGGCGGCGGCGCGTGGCGGCGGCAAATCAGATACGCGCTGGGGTGGGCCCCACTGGGGGTATTGGACTATCGCTCCATGGCTCATTCCCATGCCTGACATCAGCAGCATCAGCAGCATCAGCAGGAGGGCGGGCACCGAGCGGGCGGGAGTCCACAGGGCACGCTGGCGCGGCGGGTTGGCAGGCCGGCGCGGCGCAGCACCGCGCCACCCGCGCAGCCCAGGCAGCCGCGCCAGCTGCGCGCACTTCCACGCCGCACTGCGTCTGTGTCCCCACCACCAATGCCTAAGAGCATGCATCCCCCCCCCCCCCCAAAACACATAAGCCAGCTGCGCCGCACACCCAGCAGGGCCACGAGGTAGGTAGGGTGCTCGGGGTGGGCCCCTTCCTCCACCTTGGCCACGGTACCCCGCACAGGGCCCCCGCTGCTGCCCTCCTCGGGCAGGAAGAGGACCTGAGGGGGTGGCACGGCGCAGCGCACACAGCGCAGCAGTAGGGGTGCCACAGCGCAGCCGTAGGGGTGCCACAGCGCAGCGATGTGGCGCAACAGTGCATGGGGTGCACGGGCAATGGCTACCGGCGGCGCACGGCGGCGGGGCCGGCCGCAGCGCAGCAGGCAGGCAGGCAGGCGCACGCCTCCTGGCTGCGTGGCGCAGCGGCCGGGCAGGCAGCGGAGGGTCGGCCGCGACGCACGGCGGTCTGGGTGGGGCGGCAAGAGGCAAGGGAGCGGGCAGCTGCGGGCGCTGGCGCCGCACCTTTTGGAACGTCTGGAAGCGTCGCGGCGGCGGCGGCTGCCACACGCCGCCGCTGCGCTGGCTGTCGATGGGTCGCTCCTTCGGCGGAGACGGCAGGCGCAGCTCGCCGCCGCTGCCGTCGCCGCCGTCTGCCGCTCCGGGCGGCGGCGGCGGCGGCGCGCCCCAGTCGTCCACCGGCGGCGGCAGGCCCGCCAGGCGGCCGCTGGGCGCTTGCGGCGGCGGCGGCGGCGGCGCTGAGCTGGCGGCAGCGGGCGCCGAGCTGGCGCCAGCCGTCTCCAGCTTGGCCAGCTCATCCAGCATCGCCGCCTCCTCATCCGTGTCCTGCCGCGCCGCGGGCGGCGCCTCGGGCTGCCGCCCCTCCTTCACCGCCCGGCTGATCTCGGCGGCGCGCCAGGCGGCGTACCGCTGCTTCTGCTGCGTGTCGGGGGCGGGGTCGCCAAAGTGGCGCAGGATCTGCGGGGGGGTGGGAAAGGGGGTGGGGAGGGGGCCGGCTGGGCGGCAGCTCGTGAGCGGCGCAAGGCAGCAGAGGCGCTCAGCAAGCAAAGCAAGCGAGCGAGCAGGCGAGCTAGAAAGAAAGAAAGAAAGAAAGAAAGAAAGAAAGAAAGAAAGAAAGAAAGAAAGAAAGAAAGAAAGAAAGAAAGAAAGAAAGAAAGAAAGAAAGAAAGAAAGAAAGAAAGAAAGAAAGAAAGAAAGAAAGAAAGAAAGAAAGAAAGAAAGAAAGAAAGAAAGAAAGACCTCCCCCGCACCTCGAAGAAGTAAGAGGCGGCGTAGAAGGGCATGGCCGTCGCCTTGTCCGCCCGCCCCGCCCGGTCCACGCGGTCGGCGCGGTTGAACACGGTGAGGGCAAAGTTCTCGCAATGCAGCGCGTCCTCCTCGCGCACCCCCAGCTGCGGGGAGGGGGGCGGCGGAGGGCGGCGGCGGCCTTGTGTGGAAGCAAGTCGCCATACTGTGGAAGAGCACATCTCCCCCCACACACATACACACAACACACTGCAGCGGGGCCCGGCTTCCGCAGCCGCAGCACCTCCCCAACCGCAGCCTTGTTTCAATCAAGGGAACCGCTGCCAGCATCGCCGCAACAGCCCCTCCCCACCACATCCGCTCACCTGCACCACCACAGCAGCCTTTCTCCCCCTCCCAACCACACAGCGCCCCACCAGCAACACCGCAGCCCCTTGTACCAGGGGCTTCCCCGCCTCACCTGCACCACCCGCTTGTCCTTCTCCAGCTTGTCCATCAGAGCCCCCAGCACCGCGGTAATCTCCCGGGCCCTCACATCCTTGGGGATATCCAGGCCCTGCAGCACAGCACAGCACAGCACAGCACAGCACAGCGCGGCACAGCGCAGCACGGCACGGCGCGTGAGAGCAGAGGAAAGGGACGGCGCAGCAGCGGCCAGCCAGCCGGGGCGTGTGCAGCGCCAGTGGGACGCTGGCAGGCGTGGGCGGCGGCAGGCACGGTCGGCGGCAGGGGAAGCAAGGAGCAGCGCTGCAGTGGCCGGGCGTGGCGATGGCGAGGCGGGGCGGTACGGCGGCGGGACGGTACGGCGCAAGGCGGCTGGCGAGCTGAGGTCTCCCTGGCAGTACCCACCTGTTCCAACGCATACATGCGGCAGTAGTAGGCCACCTTGGGGTCCGCCTTCTCCACCTCCTGCGCCCTCTGCAGCAGCACGCGGCTCGCGCAGCCAGGCACTGCCGACGCGGTGAGACAGGGCGGTGGCGGATGGGAGCCCAGGCAGCCAGGGGAGGCCCAGCAGCCCATGGCAGCGCCTCCCCACCTGCGCAAAGGGCAGGATCATCTTCTTCTGATCCTCCAGGCTCCCCATCTCTTCTGTTCTGCAGACGCGTCTTCTGATCGCGTGCCCCTCGCACTGCCTCGCGCCCTGTGCAGCTGCGGTCGTGTCGGCAACGTAACGGGGAGGCCTCAGATCCTGCTTCTTCTCGCACGCGGACTTCATCGTCGCCACCTCAGCAGCGCAGGCCGAAGCCTGCCCCAGAGCTCTCCCCGTGCGGAATTCGCACTTGTATCATATCCAGTTTGCTGTTGGGAGGTTGCAGTGGGCCAGGCAGGTCGCATCGGTCCGCCTGGAGTGCAGGTAACTCGCTGGGGCTGCCCAATAGGACGAGGCTGCCCTGTGAGACGCCTTATGATGATGTTGGGTGCAGTGAGCACGGCTGCGCTGGACGCACGAGTCTCAGCGGCCTGCGCTGCTCACCGCCTCCCGCCGTCGCCGCCACCACCGCCGCTGCCTGCAGGCCATGGCACAACAAGGCTATGGCTTCTTCGACCCGCCTCCGGTGGAAGGCGCGCCCAAAAAGCCCACCCGCCAGGCGCCGGGGCGGGGCGTGCTAGATGGCATCAAGAAGGATGTGCAGGCAAGCAGCCGTTGCCGGCTGGGAGGCTGCCGGCAGCAGCAGGCCAGCAGCAGGCCCCCTTGGCAGCAGGGCCGTCGAGCATGAAGGGAGCGCCTGCTGCTGCTGCCACACCATGGCATGCAGGCGGCCAAGGATGGCGGCACAGAGTACGATCCACGGGGCGTGGGCGCATCGTGGAACCACTCTTTCCTGATCAAGAAGCCCTGGTGCGCTTGATGAACAGGAGCGCCACGCCGCCTTGCCCGCTGCCGCTGGCACAGCAGCCGAAGCGCAAGCCAGCCGCCGGCGCCAGCAGTGCCATGGGGCTGCGAGGTCCAGCTCGAGAGCTGCCCGCCCCGCGCGTCGCGCATTTCGCAACCGTGCGCCGCGCCTCCCGTGTGGGCCCGCGCCTCCTGTGTGTGCCAGCGGCTCGTGTGTTTGCCCGCAGGCACCCCTCCAACTTCCGCAACATGGCGCGGGTGTGGGAGAAGGAGCACGACCACTATGAGGCGGAGAAGAAGAAAGCGGATGCCAAGGCGGAGTTTGAGGCGGAACAGAACTTTCTTCAGACGCTGTCCATGCTGAGGTGCGCGCAAGTGGCACGCCACAGCTTTTGTATGACCAGAACGGATCGGCTCAGCTCACGCGGCGCTGCGGGGGCCGCGCGCGCGGGGCAAGCGTGCTGGTGGGACCCGCGCTGTGTGGGGGATGCTGTGCTGCGGGGAGCTGCGCGCGCTGTGGGGAGCTGTCGGCAGGCAGCGCTGGGGCTGCCCTTCGCTCAGCGGGCTGGCATTGCGTCACCGCGCCGACTCAAGGCGCCGCCGTGCGCCCTCCCCGCCGCCGCGCAGCCCGGAGGAGCAGGAGAAGTATCGGCAGCGCCAGTCGGTCTCCTTCCTCTAGTGAGTGGTGGCGGGGGCCGCCTGCTGAGCGCGCTGCCGCCAGCTCGTATGTTGTACGCTGTCGATTCCAGCTCCAGCCGCTGCAATGCCGTTGTGGCTGGCACCTGGCACCTCCAGCGGTGCTTCCCTCCAAGCCCCACCCCTGCCACCGCTGCCGCTTGCTTGCAGCATGAAGCCTCCGGGATATGACGCGGCGCTGGAGCGTGCCGAGAAGGCGCAGCAGGCGGGGCAGGCTGTGGGGCCTGGTGGCGAGGCGGTGCAGGGCGGCGCCCAGGCGCAGGCGCAGCAGCAGGGCCAGGCGGGCGGAGCGGGCGGCCAGCAGCAGCCCGGCCCCGGCCAGCAGCAGCAGCAGCAGCAGCAGGGGCGGGGGCGGCAGCAGGTGGCGGGCGGCCACCTGCAGAACATGATCAGCGGCATGCAGGCGGTACAGCAGCAGCAGCAGCAGTACGAGCTCAAGCACCTGCCCTCCGCGGGGCGCAGCCCCCCTCGCGGCGGCGGCTCGCTGGAGGCGGCCAACCAGCAGTTTGTGGTGGGAGAGATGGACAGCGAGGAGGAGGAGGAGGCGCTGCGGCTGGCTTCCATGCCGCCGGGGGAGCGGCGGCGGCGCGAGAAGGAGGCCGCCAGGGCGGCGCGGCAGCAGGAGCGCGCGGCGGCGGACGCGGCGCGGCGGCAGGAGAAGGCGACGGCAGAGGCACAGCTGGAACAGGCCAAGGCATTCCTGAGGGCTGCAGGCCTGGAGCTGCCCTCCGATGGCGCCAGCAGCTCCGACAGCGGCGCCAGCAGCGATACCGACGGCGGCGCCAGCAGCGGCGGCGGCAAGGGGGCTGCGGCCAGGCAGCAATGCCGCAACGGCAGCGGCGCCGGCAAAGCGCACATGAAGCGGAGCAAGAAGGAGAAGAAGGAGAAGAAGAAGAAGCGGCGCCGCAAGGACTGACTGTTGCTTCTGTTGTCGATTGCCTCTTCACTCCATTTCGTTTGCAATGGGTTGATTTCTTCCAGATCTTGATCAATCTCGCCACTGGAAATGGCAGTGCCTGCCAGACAAGCAGCAGAGGAGCTGGCATAATTTGTTCACAGGTGGGGCATTGAGCAACAGGAGTGGGGGAGCAGCGGAGCAGCATCAGAGAGAGCAGGGAAGCGGGACATAGGGAGCACACATGTCGGCGGTCGCGTTCAAGTCATGCCAAAAGTCATGCAAGCTTCATTGCCGCTTGTTGCTCAGCCGCGCGTTGCGTGCATCGTTCTTAAACTCCATGGCATCGTACTGCAGGAGGCAGGCAGGCAGAAGGTGGCGGCAAACTAAGCCTGGGCAGCACGATGACCTCCTGGCGTGACATCACACACACCGCAACCAGCCACCAACACACACACACACACACACACACCTGCCCGTCCCGCATCTGCGCCATCTTCTGCTCTGTGTCGTACACCCGCTTGTTCATCAGCGGCAGGCCTGCTCGACGCAGGCAAAAGGGGGCAGGTCGCGTGTGCGGGTTGGGTGGCAAGCGGGGTGGGGCCAGTGCCCGGCCAGCAGCCGCGAGTCCACAGGTTGGGCTTGTTGTGAAACCACAGAAGAAGTGGAGCGGCAGAACTTAGCCGCTGACATGCAAGCATCTTCTGAGATGCAAGCAACAGATCCCAACACGACAGCGTTCAACAGCCCAGCCAGCACGCATGGTGGCTGCGTGCCCGGCCGCCCGGCTGCCCACCAGAGATGATGAGCGCGGCCGACACGCCCAGGAAGATTGCCAGCTGGTTGCCGCGTGCCGCACGCGTGAACTTCCCCTTCACCGCATCCACCATCCTGGGGCGGGGATTGAGGAGCTCCGCCGCCTACCGCCACCCCCGGGCGCCACCGCTGTCGCTGTGCCTTGCCAGCGGCCGGCGTCCTTGGTGCTCTGGGAGCTGAAATGGCAGAGTTTAAGGATCTTCAGCGCAGTATGGATGGCTCAGGAGCGCAGGGCAGAGGCAGGGAGTGGGCACAGACTCGACGTCGCCGCTGTGGCGTGAGAGGCGGGCTCTGGTAGGCGAGGATTAAACAGGAAGTGTGAGGATCAATGCAAAGCCGGGGTTTGGGATCGTTGCCTGACCCCGCGTTGCCACGCAGCCTGAGCTGGCCGATGAGAAACGAAATCCTGCAGACAGACGACGAATTCAGCACCATTGCAGCCCTTTGCACACACCCAACCATCGGCAGCATGCAGTTTGCGGCCCTCCGCCCCGCCGCAACACGGCTCGCCCGGCCGCCGGCCAGGCCGCCCGCCAGCAGCCGGCAGTCGATCACCCCATTCTCCGCCACGCAGCCTGCAGCGGCGGGGCAGCCGGGGGACAAGCTGCTGCCACTGCTCCGCACCCCCTTCGACCTCCTCGCCCTGCCTGGCCGCGTGGCCCTGGGCACGCTGCAGTCGCTGCCGGAGATCCTGGAGAAGCTGTGAGTGGGGCGGGTGACGGCGGTGGGGTGGTGCAGAGGGCGGGAGGCCAACCAGCCATGTTGCGGCGGCGCGCTCTCCCGCCACGCGGCCCGCAGCTCCCACCTCCTCGAAAGGAATGCTGCAAACCCTTCGCCTGCCTGCCCTGCACCTGCTGCGCCGCAGCCCAGCGGATGTGGAGCGGCTGTCGCTGCTGGCCCAGGACCCTCGACCGCTGGAGGATAAGCAGGTGGGTGCAGGTGGACGGCATGCACGGGGCCTGCAATGGGCTTGGCCATCCCTGCTGCTGCTGCTTCCCCTCCTGCTGCTTCTCATCCTGTCCCCGCACGCCATGCTCGCTCATCCTGTGCACACCACCGTCGGTGCGCTGACCCTTCCTGCCTGCCTGCCTCCTGCCACGTGCCGTCGCTCGCCGCACCCCCACGCATTGGATTCAGGCCGAAGTGTTGGGAGAGCTGGAGGATCGTGTGTGCGGCTACCTGCAGAAGGGGACAGACACAGAGGCGGAGGTGCTGGGAAGCGTGGGCGCCGTGCTGCCGGACACGCTCAAGGAGGCGCTGCCTGAGACGCTAAAGGACGCGCTGAAGCCGCGCAGCGGCGCAGGTGTGCATTGGTGTGTGTGTGTGTGTGTGTGTGTGTGTGTGCCGGGTGGCATCTGGTGGGAGGGGCTGGTGGCGGCGGGCGGCGGGCGGCCCTGTGGGGCGCGCGTGTGCTGGGCTGCGTCTGCACATGCATCTGCCGGGCAGCGCCTGCGGTACACAGTCGGCACGAATGCGGTACACAGTTGGCACGGCAGCAATGCCGGCACAGGCGTGGCCGCCAATTGACGACCTCCCGCCCGCCTGCGCCTCCCGCCTGCCCGCGCCTCTGCAGGCGACGACGCCTGGAGCGGCAGCAGCAGCAGCAACGGCAACGGCAGCGGGCCCCCCAAGCCGCTGGCCACCTGGACAATCACCAGCGACGACGAGACGGTGGTGGTGGTGGAGGAAGAAGAGAACCTGCCTCCCATGACCCCCGCAGCCATCGCAGCCAGCCAGACAGGTGGGTGTGGGTGGGGCGTGGCGGGCACCGCCTGCCTTCTGCAGCCTGCCTGCGAGGCGCAGCAGAGGAGGCGGGCCCGAGGGGGCTGGGTCCGAGCAGAAGCCAGCCCTGCTTACGTGGGGGGCAGCCTATCTCTGGCAGCGGGATGGAGGGTGCTAACCCGACCCTGTTACGCGTGCTTGTTGTGTTGTGTTGTGGTGTGGTGTGGTGTGGTGTGGTGTGGTGTGGTGTGTGTGGTTGTGCCCCCTGGTAATGGCTCTGAGCGGGGGCCGCCGCTCGCCGGTGCTGCGTCGTGCTGCAGCGGCGGAGGTGATGGAGGTGAATGCGGCGGTGGCGGCGCTGCACGAGCAGCTGACGGCGCTGCAGGCCAACACCGACCCCAGCCGTGCCAATATGATCAAGCTCAACCTGCGGGAGGCGGAGCAGATGTTGGCAGGGTGCGCTGCAGGAGGGGGAGCAGGAGGGGCCGCCGGGAGGGCGGCCAGCGCCGCCAGCCGGCCGGCCGGCTGCTTGCAGGTTGCCCGCGGCGGCATCCACACGGGGCCGCCCATCCTAGCGAAGGGCTGCCACCCAGCTGGCCCGGGCATGTGGTGACGTGCCGTGCTGCGCCAACCGGCGTGGCGTCTTTCCACCCGCCAACCGCACAGCTGCTGCTGCTGCTGGTGCTGCTGCTCCTTCCCTGACGCCCTCGCTCGGCCTCCCCCGCCGCCGCCTGCGTGCTGTGCAGGAGACTGGAGCAGATGGCGCCGTCGCACCGCGCCGTCGGCGACGCCACGGTGCAGGCCGCCATTCGGGAGGCGGAGGCGCTCCTGCTGGAGGTCCGGGCGCTGAACGTGTGAGCGGCCAGCGGCGCGCCAGCCCGGCTGTCGGGCTGCTGCTCCTCCGCACGCTCGTGTGCCATCCTGCGACCGCAGCCCGTGATGGCAACAACAGCCTTGACGCGGGTCGGGGCAGCCGGGGAGCGCCTCCCCCTCCTGACAGCTCGCCAGCGGCCGACTGGCAGCCCAGGCATACATGTGCGTGCGGCCTGCCGGCCTGTCAGCTGCAGCAGGCAGCCTGGGGCATGGGCTCAGCAGGCTGCATGGGTTGCACATCCAGCATTGTGGGTGCGCCCCTCACCCTCCCACTCACTGGCCCATCACTGCGGGCCGTACCCCTTTCCACCCACTCACTCACGCTTCTCCCACTGTGTTGCTCGCCCCGCTCCTTGAACGCATGATAGCCCATTCCACTGTATTTTCTGTTGTAGCTCCTAGAATGAATAGCACACGCACGCAATGAACTGACTGGACTGTAAGCAATGCGACGCAGGCGTAACATGGGACTGGGTGAGCCCGGAAGCAGCGGTAGCCATCATGCGCTGCCGTTGAGCGTTTAAATGACCTTGCGTGAACGTTCACGGTGGTAGCTGTGGACTGGGCAGTGATGATGGAGGCAGCCAAAGGCGGCCACCATTGTCAGTCTACTCTCTTTCAAACTCCTTACTTCCCCCAAATCCCCTCGGCGGCATGTACATGACGTGCATGGCGTGCCACATGGCGCCCCACCCATCTCATCTGTATGTCCGGGACCCATTCACTACGAGTGGGGGGTACTGCACTTGGCGCGTCGGGCAGATCAAATAATGGTCTAAAGCTAGACGTTAAAACCGGGAAGTTAAGCCTGTGGAGGCTCTTCCCCACCTTTACCTTTACCTTTATGTCCGCTCATCCTTCCTCCTGCTCTTCAAATCATCCTATGACCACCAGCTGGTTCACAATTCAACAATTCAATGAACCAGGTGGAGAATCATGACCCTAGCTCGCTATTTGCTGCTGTGCTCGACAACAACATAGCTGCTGTCGCACATCTCTGTCAGTTCAGCAATCTGCTGAGCTATGTGGAGCCGGAGCCGCCCTGCTCGACACCCCTTCTGACCGCCACAGCCCAGGCTGGGAACAAGGTATGTGGTCGGGCGTTTTCGTGCTCGCTGATGATCAGGGTACGCGATCAGGAGTGCAGTGCACACCATCCTTTGCAGGCTTGGCATGGCATGCACCTGCCGCCAGCTGCCGACCGACCGCCTTGTGGTGCTGTCATCTGTGCTGGATGCCCTCGCTGACCGGCCTCAAGATTTGGCTGCATGCAACTACTACAATGAAATAGTACTGCACCTGGTAGCAACATTCTCGACGCGGCATATGCCTGAGCATTAAGCCATGGCACAACGGCTTCTGGACTACTTCATTGCAGCCGGCGGCGACCTGGAGCAGTGCCTGCATGAGACCTGCAAGTGGTCACAGTATGACACCAGCGGCTGCACAGCTCTGCACGTGAGCGCTATCAGCCGCTCCCAGTTTGCACGGCGCCTTGTAGCGGCAGGGGCAGACGTCAAGTGAGTGTCAACATTGCGCCGAGACCCCTGCCTGTGTTCAACAAATTGCTGGTGCTCTCATCATTGTGTGCAATCTCAGCACCTCACTCGCAGTCGTCCATCCACACGGATGCAGTGCTGAGGACCCCGAGGGTCGCACACCGCTGACCCTGGCCACAATGCACGGCAATTCCTCCCTGGCCAAGCTGCTGCTGGACGACCCTCGCGTTCACGTGCCCGCTGACCTGCTGCGGACGGCGATCATTGATGTAGGCTGGAAACTGGCGGCCAAAGCTAGCTCACCTTGTACCAGCTATGCGCGTGCTTATCCATTCCCTACCACCCCATCACACCATGTCTCTTCATCGCAGGCATTTGAAATACGATATCATGCTGCCACGCGTCGCTGGGAGCTGCTGGAGCTGCTGCTGAGCCACCCCCGCGTTGACCCGCTAGCGCTGGATGAACGAGGCCAAACTTTCCTCTTTTACACCGCTTGCTCGAGCGGGGTATACCACGTTATTTATCGTCTGCTGCACCGGGCTCAAGAGCTGGGTGTGCAAGTGAACCATCAGGTATGCCGCATGCTCCTCCGCTGCCTGCTGCTACAGTTTACATGTGAGTGTCCAAACAAGGCACTAGCCTGCGCCCATGCCGCTGACTTTCCTTGCAGGATGTTGCCGGCAATACAATTCTGCATGAATTAATATGCACTGGTGGATATCCATATTCTGTCTCGGCTGTCATGGAGTTCTTGGTGGAGGCTGGCGCCGATGCCAGGTGTGCTGGCACTGCCAGGCAGGAGAGCAAGCAGGACCTGCACCGTTGCAGGCACCTGCCACGTGCGTAACTGGCAAACTGCGCTGGTGGTGCCTTTGCCCTGCGCTGCAGCATCCGCAACGTGGCGGGCCAGCTGCCAAGCGAGATGCCGGTACCGGAGAGCAGGCGGGATTCACACATTGTGCGGGACCTCCTGGAAGCATTGAGGCAGGAGGAGCAGCTTGCGCTGCTGCCTCGGACGACAGCATCTCTTTCTCCCGGCCTGAGGCGCTCTACCAGACGATGCGTCCGGCTGGCAGGTGTGGGTACTGCGGTACCCTGCAGAGCCAGCGTCTTGCAGCCAGGTCAGGCTCAGCAACGTCACGCACAGCAGGGGCTGGACGTGGTTGTGATCAGCAGCAGCGATGAGGACAACGAGGGGGACGCTCAGCTTCTCCGAGCGGAGAAGGGTGCACGAACCAGCTCAGGATGCACTCGAGCCGGTGCCGCACGACAGCGCCAGCAGCCACAGAGCCAACAGAAACAGAGCCAGCAGCCGCAGCGCCACCAGCTGCATCGCCCTCAGCAGGCTGCAAGACAGCAACATCAACAATGTGAGCGGGGACCCCAGAAGCCCTCAGAAGAGCAGTTTTCTACTCTTGGGCAGCAAGCAGTAGTTGAAACACAAGACAGGCAGCAGCAGCTGCAGGGGCAGCAGCAACAACTGGCGTTGCAACCGCAGCAGGCGCCGCAGCTGCAACAGGCACAGGAGGGGCAGCTGGCGCCAGCACAACAAGTGCAGGAGCAGCAGCAGCGGCAGCTCGAGACGCTGCAGAGCCGGCAGCAGCAGCAACAGCAGGAGATGCGGCAGCGCCGTCAAGAGCAGCAGCAGATGCAGCAACAACAGGTGCAGCAGTTGCCATCACAACCGTCGAGCCGGCATACAGCTGAGCGGCAGCTGCAGCTGACTGAGGCCCAGCAGCGGGGTGAGCAGCCACCACCGCCGTCACTGCCGCTGGCGGAGCGCCAGCGCCAGCAGGTGCAGCAGATGGATGCCCTCCTCGCGCGTTGCGTGGCTGGCGGCCTGCTGGCTGCAACTGAGAGGGACGAATTCGCGTTTGTCTTCTGCCGCCTCATGGGCGCGGCCGACAGGCAGCGGGAGCTGAGGGCCTTTCGGGCCTTTGAGGCCAGGGACAGCCTGCTGTATGTTGCCGTGGGTGTGCGGGCGGTGGTGCAGCAAGAGCTGGAGGCGGCGCACCACCGCCAGGAGCAGGGCCAGCCGTAGGAGTGGTGTTTGGACTGTTCTATAGTTTGGCTGTAAGGTCTTCATGAAATTCTGTGTTTCTCCATGCCTGATGCATCCGAAAGATGTGGGCTGCGGGCTGATTGTGGAGCAAAACACATGCTTGTGTCGTGGACGCGCGCGTGTGAGCTGGATGCATGGTCTTGGATGCGGCCTCTCGAGAATGTGCAGGGCTGGCAGCGGCGGCAGCGGCATGGCGGCAGCGGCGGCAGCGGCAGCATGGCGGCGGCGGCGGCTTGAGCGCCACCCCGCTGCATGCCATTTGAGTGCTCGGCGGCGACGCTGTCTGCCGCTGTGAGCCCGCACCAGCATCGGCACCTGTCGGCTTTGCAGGCCTAAGCTGCTAAGGATCCCCACGTCCCCCACCACGTTGTGGGGGTTGCGTGTCCGCAGGACGGGGAGCGGGCCCAGGGTGGGGTGACCCTGGGACGCTCAGCTGGGGGAAGGGTGGCCGGAGCCATGGAGAGGGTGCTCCATGGTCCACCCCCTCTCTTGATGCCCCTTGATCACGTGTGCCCCCTGCCCAAGGTCTGCTGACGCGGCCTATCATAGCGGGGTGACTGTAACACAGAAACACCCACCGGACCCCAATATTTTCCCAAATCGGCTCAAATCGCCCCAGTTGAAACGCACCCCAGGAATTGAGCACAATCTTGCTTAAGATTGGCAAGCGTACCAGGTAGAAACGCCTGTTCGCGGCGCCAGTCAGGTTCTTCCGCCATCTCGCAGCCGCGGCGCCTATTTAAAGTCATCCCCAGGGGGCAGCAGCCGAGAGTGACTTCATCCGCCCAACAGCGACCCCTGCCCAGCCCGGCCGCAAGGCCTGACCAGCAGCCAGTGGCTCTCCTGTTTGCGTTCTCACAATTTCCGATGCTCAGCCGCTTCGCTGTGCTTGTATGGGCCTTTGGTGAGCGCCCCCCACGGATTTGCCCCTTTGCGCAAACTTATGCCAGCTTAGTTTCACAGCGCCGCGCACAAGCTCTGCTACCTTTCGCCTGCGGTCTCCTTGCGTTTGCTCGCCGGAGAGGGCTGCCAGTGCAGCGCTACCCGAGCCGCCACATCCTGCCCCTGCCGCCGCCGCCGCCGCCATCCCTGCTTGCTTGTGTGGGCTTAAAGTCTGGTAAAGCAAGAACTAGCTTGCAACATAGACTCCCCGCCGAAACGGGACGGGAACCGGGCGAAAGCAGAGAAAGCAATAAAACAGGGGTGGAGCAAGGCGACATGCAACGCAAGCAGCTGACAGGGCACGCATCGAAACGTGTGTATGACTGGCAAAGTGGCATGGCGCATTGGGGAGAAACGCAACGGTACGGGAGCATGGGCTGGCCAAACGGCAGTGCGGAACGCTAGGTCACTAGAAAAGCAGGGAAAGGCGCACTATGTATGCAATGAGGGCAGCCCCGGCTCGGGGCCGTTGAGAAAGCAGTGGGCGGGAGGGGGGAGGCCCCGGTGTGGGCGGGCCCCATCGAGGGGGGATGGGGCGCGCAAGCGGCCAGATGGGGCGGGGCGCGGGCGGCAGTGGAGTCCTGCGGCTGGGTGGGATATAGGGCAATGAGCGTTGAGCAAGTGTGCGATGAGCAATGAGCAATGAGCAGTGAGCAGCCCCTCCCGAAACAAAGTGAAGCGCAGGACGGGGTCCGGTGGATGGGAGGCAAGGAAGCGCGGGGGTTGCCACGTGCGCTACCGCCGCCGCCGCAGGCAGCACCCCTGCGGCGGCGGCAGCGGCAGCAAGCCGTGGACCCAAACGCCGTGCCGCCGCCGCCGCAGGCAGCAGCCCTGCGACGGCAGCGGCAGCAAGCCGTGGACCGAAACGCCGTGCCGCCGAGTCCCGTGGCTGTGGCCGTGGGCTTCTGGCAGGAAACTACGGCCGCAGCTCGGCGGCACGGGGGCGTCGCAGCGTGCCGCCGCCGCCGCCGCGCTGCCCCCCAGGCACGGCGGCGGCAGCAGCAAGCTTGGGCCCAAACGCCGTGCCGCCGAGTCCCGTGGCTGCGGCCGTAGACTGTGGGCCGGAAACTGCAGCCGCAGCTCGGCGGCACGCGGTTCTGTTCAAGTCGCCAAGCGTGCAGCAGCGCCGAACCACGCTTCCCGGCCTCGGCGCATGCCTTCAGGGGCCCCCTATCGCTGGGCACACCCCTCCAACACTGAACATGCGCCCGGGGGGAGGGCGGCCCGGGCTGCCCAGGCCAAAGTGGGCCGCCCTCGAGCAAGAGGCGGCCGGTCTGTGTGCTGAATGAATGAATGAACGAATGAATGAATGAATCCTTGGAAAGCGGAGGTGTGTTCCTGTGTTACCTGTGTTGCTTGTGTGGGCTTAAAGTCTGGTAAAGCAAGAACTAGCTTGCAACATAGACTCCCCGCCGAAACGGGACGGGAACCGGGCGAAAGCAGAGAAAGCAATAAAACAGGGGTGGAGCAAGGCGACATGCAACGCAAGCAGCTGACAGGGCACGCATCGAAACGTGTGTATGACTGGCAAAGTGGCATGGCGCATTGGGGAGAAACGCAACGGTACGGGAGCATGGGCTGGCCAAACGGCAGTGCGGAACGCTAGGTCACTAGAAAAGCAGGGAAAGGCGCACTATGTATGCAATGAGGGCAGCCCCGGCTCGGGGCCGTTGAGAAAGCAGTGGGCGGGAGGGGGGAGGCCCCGGTGTGGGCGGGCCCCATCGAGGGGGGATGGGGCGCGCAAGCGGCCAGATGGGGCGGGGCGCGGGCGGCAGTGGAGTCCTGCGGCTGGGTGGGATATAGGGCAATGAGCGTTGAGCAAGTGTGCGATGAGCAATGAGCAATGAGCAGTGAGCAGCCC